GGATTCTCGGAGCCGGTATCGGGATCGGATCACCGCTGCGGGGTATTTGATGGTATGCGTGGCTTACTAAGAAATCATTCTTTCCGTTGCTCCCCACGGGGTCACAAAGACAGGGCAGATACGGGATAGATCGGAAATGGATACTCTCAGTATGATGAACCAGAAGCGACCAGTCCTTATCGGGAAGTGAACACGATACCATCACATGCGCTTTTTTGATTAGATCTCAGCGGCATCGGGAATTTTTTTTTGAACTCGAGTCCGAATTCCTGTCTTAGCAGATGGATCCTTGAGACAGATGTCCGATCGTGAATCGTGAACCTCTTAAAATCCTGCTCAGCTCGATCTCAGAGCGTAACACAGGGCAAGAGGATATGTGGTCAACCCCGCTGACAGCGAGCGTCTCGAGTCTCGAGCACATTCTGATACGGGTCAGACCTCTCTGAGCCACCACTTATTCCCAGAACATATGACCTCAAGGTCACATTTAGAAGGCGATTCCGGCTTGGTGACCTTGTTATATATTTCCTGCATCCAGGAGTCTGAAGCTGCGGTGGCTTCGGAACGCCGAATCACTGCTTTGATCGGACCCATGGGATTGAAGGAGCTCGTACCATGACTCATGACGAACCACGGGATCGCTTCGAAGCCGAGGAGAAGATTCCTGCGAAGCGTCGCATCGGCTCACTCGGCGCGTCGTGGACCGAGAGTGGGCCGACTACCGCTGAGGAGATCGGCCACATCGGATCTCAGAATCGAGCTCCGCTTCGGAGAGCTTCTCCCTCGCATCCGAGGGGCTTCACAAACCCACTGACATTTTTTTCGTGGACCGGCTTGCAAAGAAGTGACCCTCTAATTCTCAGATCCTTAGGTAAGTGCTCTTCAGAATCAAGATTACACTCTCTGGTCAGATAGGTATATAGACCTTTGAGAGAAGAAATTGCGGAGCTTCTGATCTCTCTCGATACATTTTGACGGTCGGTAATCCGGGCATTGTGCTCCAGCTAGAAAGAGACTCTATTTGCAGACTCGGCGGCGCCGTGTGCTCTGGCGTCGGAATTTGTGGAGTGATACGGATGGGAGCACCGAGCTCCGAAAATGAACCGTGAAATTCTTGACTTCATTGCTTGGCGGCGACTTCAGTATGTGTAGGACACGACATTAATCCCGCTTGAGGAGTCCTCACGGTGGATTTCCGTTGCTTGCGCTGAGCTCCTCCGAGATGGGATGGTACAGATCGCATTGATGGATCTTCAGTACTCGGGCCCTCCTTTCCCGGGGGAAGGTGGAGATTACATAATGTCCTCAAAGTAATTTCGACGGGCTGATTCGGGACGATGAATCAAAACCGCAGAGATTGGCCTCACTCCGCTTCGCTCTCGATTACTGCGCTAGTTTCTGCCAGCGTCGACGACGCTGACGCAAGAATAAGCTCAGTCAGTCGCTCCCCGGGGAAAGCGGGCCGCCGAAGCTTGGGAGATGCCCGAAAGCTTGGAATGATAACGCTTATCTCGAAATGAGGAGATTATGGTGCGGTCGGTCTTACTCTCGGAGCAACCCACTGCCAGAGTTTCATTTATTTCGGATCGGGGACTTATGAGGGACTTGAAAGATGCAGGAGTCCTAGAAGTCGAGGTCTAGATCCCCTCAGAGGACAAAGATGCGTGAGGCGACAGACCGCGAGAAGAATAGGTGGGCAGAATCAACCCGCTCGCTGTTTCTAATTCCGGCAAGTCAAAGTCATCCAAGAGACGCCTGGCCGAGTCTGTCGCGACGCCAAGATTAGGCCTCCCAGAAGGATTATCCGACCTGAACAGCTTAGCGAGGCTTCACTGTCTTCGCGACGGAATGTTCCTATTCCTTGTAGAGCAGCCGAGCGGCTCTCGGAATTAGGACGTCGGAATTCTGACGGTTATTAGCGTCTTGTTTACCGCTTGTAGCGTGAAGCCACAATACAGAAGAACGGCTCGGAACAGGCAATATCGACCCTGGCAGAAGTTCGTCGAATGAGGAGCGCTTTCCGTGCGCGATCGTCCTGGAAGCTCTCTGACATCTCGTCGCGGAAAACCACCAGACAACGAGAATTTGGCGCATCGCCTACCGCGTCACTCGAGACCAGTGATTCTCGAAGTTTTTTTCCCCGCGAAGCCCTTGCGGGAGTCCGCAGGGGTTTGCGGGAGCCCACAGCACCGTTTCCTGAGCTGTTCCCAAATGAATATCCTTTTGAGAGTGCGAAAGCATAGATTCCCATCGATAAAGGTATAAAGGATGCATTGGAAACCGAGAATAAAGTTTGGGAGAATTGAAAAAATTCCGGCAGACTGATAGTAGGCTCACGGAACCCCGAGGGTTCCACGGAAGATTTCGGCGGGGAACACTGCTCTAGATTAGACGATTATGTGAAGCAAAGCCACAGCTACGAGGATGAGCTCGATCACATCGCACACGAATATTCTTGGTGGAGGCTGCAGAGCGAGCTCGCTACACGGAGCTGTTCCCCGCGAACAGTTCCGAACTCCGAACTCGAAAGTGTCTTATTTATATTCCACCAGCCATCGAACGTTGGTTGACGCTGCCAAGGAAACTCAATCAGTCAAGTTAGGTTGGTCAGGTCCGAGAACGGGAGGAGCCGGAGACTCGTCAGCGGAGGATTTCTGTGGGGCCAATGTTGAAATCACCTTGGCCATCGTGGGAAATATGGTGCCGCTTCCGAAGTGGGTTGAAATACCCGGTTAACCAATGGCAATGAATCGCACAATGGCCTGCGGCGGAATCTTCGAGTTCCTAGACCGGAGTGGAATATCACACAAGTGATCAGCTCGAATTCATGGACTGGCGAGCCGACTGACAGACAGGCATTGCCTTCCTTTCCATCATGAAGAAGAGATCTTTCATGTGTGGAAGCCTGGATCTTCGGAAGCTCCTTCAGGAAACCTTCTCAATATACTATCGAGCCCAAGCTCCAATGAATTTCGAGGGAGTTGAGAATCGGAATCGAGACCCTATAGCAATTATTCATGATTTGTCCACCGTCTTCGTGGCTATCATCGTTTCATACTGATTCCGTAGAACAGAAAAACTGGAGATGCCGGAGGAATGCGAGTCAGTGGGGACAAGAAACCGAGGTAGCGGGAACACGGGACAAGGGGTAAGCGTGAATTTGGGTAAGGGCAAAACGGTGAGAGGGGATACCGAGGAACATCGTGAAGACGGGGAGCGAAGAGCAGGAGGGGGGAGGAGATGTTCATCTTGAAAGAGGGGAGAACGACTGGGCACACCGACAGCGAGCCAGCTCGTGGCAAGCGCGCTCACGAGGAGCGCCTCCGGAGCGGGTGATGTGTAGAGAGTCTAGCGCTGAAAACTCTGGTAAATCATAACTCTAGGATCGAGCTTTATCCAGCAGCAACAGCTGTCGGCATCGCGGCGAATTCGAGCATTTGTAGGTACTCGTTGCCGCAAGGCGAAATGAGTAACTCACACAGTCGTCAGTTTAGCAATGAGGTGGCAGGTGCGGTTCCGCAGATGAATATATCAATGGAAGACGGGACAGCCTTCAAGATTCCGAAGGTCGACTCATGCAAATTCCGAATTGAGGTACGCTAATTTTCAGCGGCATCTCAAGGCCGCCTGGTACCTTCCCAACAGAAACCAACTGCGACGCCAGCGTGCGCGATTGGACTCCCTCCTAAGGGAACTGACTTGGAATTTAGAGAGTCATTCCTCGATTAGAGCCTCGAGCTCTGACTGAGAATAGGAAGTCTCCACGCATTTCCGAGAATCGTTCCCCGATCCGGCGTTCGTCGACTGGGGAATCCTTTCTGTGCTTCAAAGCGAGAGAATTAGGGGACTCAGAGAATGACCATCCTCCTCTACCCCGCGCGGTCATGTAATGGAGGTTCGATCTGAAAGCTGTAGCCCTTTTCCGAGGAGTAGATTCCGTGTGAACGGAATCCATCACGCATGCTGGAGCCGAGGTGACAGCCTATACCGTTACGGGTTAACCTGATGACGGGGAAAACTGAGGAGCGACTCCGGTCGGCTGCGAGGGTCTCCCCTCGTCGCAGCGCAAGACTCACGCTGCGTATCAGCTGAGTTTCCGGGACTGATATCCCGAATAAAGTTCCGAAATCTTATCCAGAATCTCCGCGCTGTCGCTACGGTCCGCAGAAATTCGATACGGAAATCGGAATACGTAAGATGAGAGGTTTTTCCGAAACTGTGAGGAACATATGTGTCCAAATATGAGGGGATCGTATTCAGTCCACATCCACAAAGTCCGCACAGCGACAGGAAAAGTTCTCATCGATGGTCACCGCATCGACAGGCCGTCAGACAGGAAACCTGGAGCTGTCTCATTGATTGACCTGTGCAGCGTCTCCTCTGTGCGTTCCGGAACTCGTCAGGGCATCGAGCGAAGTAGACACGCTTGGAACCTCTTGTCAGAAGGTGCGTCTAGGAGTGCGTCTTTTCGATGAAAATTCTGCCATTAAATTGAAAATACAGAGTGTTCAGTCTTCGCTCACTGAGAGGAATGGAGTGGAAGTCCCCCGGGGGACTTCAGGAATAAGTCTCATGAGCGAGACATCTTGGAAAAATCTAGGAATCAATCCGGAAACGTCCCATGGGCTGGGAGACACGTTGTATCGGGGCAATGAGCGAGTCTTAGCGAGCTCATATTGGAATCTGAACTTTCGATTCCCTAAGAAGATTCCCAGATATCGAATCACGAGATCATCTATGACAATTGAATCGACGCGATAAGGGAGGAAATCTCCAACGATTGAGTGTATCCATTTTGAGTCATCCGAGACGTCGGAGCTCATTCACAGAGACGGGCCTAGGTGTGAGAGTCCGTTCCATAAGAATCGAAATAAACTGACCACGAAGGTGTTTCTTTCAGCTGCTCTATCAAGCGTCTCGCTCTCGCCACAGCCAGATACTCTCGAATCCACCAGAGATTAACTTCCAGTGATTCCGGGCGACAATCATCGAACACGCTTACTGCTCTCATCGCCCAGTGGTGAGCCTCCGCGTGAGTTCTCGCGACAATGTTTTCTCCTGGATACTCCCTTTAAGAGTCTCTCTAAACTCTAAAGGACACCGCGTAACTCGGGAACTGTTGCTCATCTGATTCCAGCTCGATCACGATGTGGCTCGTCATCGCGGTTTTCGTGTGTTCGGCAGCCGCGCGAGCTCCCGAGTTCGTTGTCGACTACGACAACAACTGCTTCTCGAGGGACGGAAAACCATTCCAGATGATCTCTGGAAGTCTCCATTACTTCAACGTTCCCGAACAATTATGGGAGGACCGGCTACTCGCCATGCGGAACTGCGGTGTGAACACAGTGCAAACATACGTCGAATGGCGAACCCTCGAGCCCCGGAACAACGTGTTCGACTTCACGGGCCGGAACAACATTACCCGTTTCATCAAAATCGCACAGAAAGTCGGATTATTGGTGAACCTCCGCCCCGGACCGTATATTTGTTCGGAAAGAGAAATGGGTGGATTGCCGTGGTGGTTGATGCAAGTGAACCCGAGGATGAAAATCCGCACCAACGATGCAGAATACATGTCATTCGTCGAGCGTTACTGGAGGAAACTCCTACCGCTGTTGAGACCCCTTCTTTATTCACGAGGAGGCCCCATAATCTTGGTCCAGATCGAGAACGAGTACGGAAGCTATTCGGCATGTGATTTCTCATACACGGCGGCGCTCCGGGACTTGGCGATGAGTTTACTCGGCGAGAACGTAGTGTACTACTCGACCGATGGAGACCGCGACGGTGACTTGAAATGCGGGAAAAACGAAGGCGTTTTCACGACCGTCGATTTCGGTGTGACCAGTGATGTGAAGAGCAGTTTCGCGGCGCAGAGGAGACATCAAATGAAAGGTCCCCTAGTCAACTCCGAATATTACACGGGCTGGCTCGATCATTGGGGCGGTATCCACGAAACCGTCCCAACCGCAGCCGTTGTGCGCTCGCTCGACGAAATGTTGGCAATGAACGCCTCGGTCAATATGTACATGTTCCATGGGGGTACGAACTTCGGCTTTGACAACGGCGCCAATTTGGACTCCGTCTACCAGCCCTGTCCTACGACTTACGACTACGATGCGCCTCTCACGGAAGCTGGGGATCCTACGGAAAAATATTTCGCCATAAAAAATGTCATCAGAAAATACGCTCCTGTCCCTGATGACGACCCCGTCGCCAAACCGAAGCTCGCGCTCGGGAATATACTGCTGAGGAAGAAACTAGATCTTGAAACTACCGTGGGCGTGCTCGAGAACCTGATGAAAGTTCATAAGTCTACGAACCCCATGTCATTCGAAGATGTGGACCAGCCGTACGGATTAGTAGCTTACGAGACAACAATCTCATTCAGACCGTTCAGTCCATCGTTGCTCAAGGTACCGGGTCTCAAAGACCGCGGCTACGTCTACGTAGATTACGAGCTCAGAGGGATCCTATCTCGAGAAGCTGGCATCTACGAGATGCCGTTGAAAATTCGTCAGAACCAAACACTGACGATTCTTGTGGAGAACCAGGGTCGGGTGAATTTCGGGGACGGCATTCTGGACCCGAAAGGCATCGTGAAGCCCGTACAACTGGGTTCTCGGACTCTGATGAATTGGAGAAACATCCCACTGCCTGAGCAAAGTGGAGGATCCTACGGCTTCTCGACTTTGGAAATGTTCGCTCACGATGTCCAAGCCGGATTCTCGAAGCATTTCACGAGTTCGAGGGATCTTACAGGGTTTGGGGTCTATGAGGGAAGCTTCCAGATTCCCGATAGAAACCAAGTGCTCCTGGACACGTATATTCACCCCTCCGGATGGGGAAAAGGATACTTGTACATTAACGGTGTCAATCTCGGTCGATACTGGCCTGATCAAGGCCCTCAGGTCACGCTTTACGTCCCGTCACCTTTTCTCAAGCTAGGAAGAAACAACATTACGGTAGTGGAGCTCGAGACGGCGCCCTTGAATCGGATGATTGTCTCCGTCGACAAGCCCGTCATCGACGGACCAGTTCCCCAATGAATTTCTCCCGCGACACCGGCATGAGGCGTAATACAGTTTTCTTTCGTCAATTACTCGCGGAGACAACCCACAATAAAAGGCTGAGCGAGCCGCGGACACCCTCCCGAAAATTACGTGACGTCATTTAGCCAGCTAACCCTACCCAGTTCAAAGAATAGCTCATGAGAGAATAGGTTATTCCCGTGGCCAGCAAACAGTCCAGTTCGAAATCAGATTCATCCATCGCTGATATGAGAATTGCGCCGCTCTATCATTCGCACGGCAACCCCATAAAGACAACAAGGACTACCAGTTCATCATCCTCTGCATGATTGCTGCGTGGATGGGAACCTTGCCGCGAATCGCTTGAGGACCTTGGGCGCCTCCCAGACCTCCCCTGCTCCTACCATGGGGGACCCTCCGGGTGGATTTTATTGGGATGCCCTAGTTTCGCCAACGAGAGAGTAGAGGCTGTCTCTGTAGGAATAGCAGAAAAGCATTCGATTGTTAGGGGATGGGCTCGATGATTTTCAATCGATAGCTGCTGGATTAGCAATCCCGGTATGTGGGTTCTCCCGAAATCGGGCACCTCGGTCCGAACAATGCGTTGGGCTTCACGAGAGACGTCGAGTTCAAGATTTCAGTCGGAATGCGTCCGGACAAGCCTCGAGATCTTTGCCCCAGAATAGGAACCGAGAACGATTCCTCGCACATGGTGGGACTATGCGGCGATATGATATCTCGACTCTGGAAGACAACTGGCTTTCACTGCCAAATGGTCAATCGCTGTCGATTGGCTCTTCTAGAGTCGAGGGAAATGTCCGGAGCGCTCATTTGCGTCAAGAGGATTATCGAAATATTACACCGCCTGCAGGAAAATCCCAACGACGGGAAATGGTCTGATTCGGAGCGCCGTTCAATCGGAAACCGAATAGCGAAGGTTCCAAGAAAGAGATCTCTCGTCGAGAATCGGGAAACGCACCGCTCCCTCCTGGGGTGAGCTGCGGAACCAGGCGTGGAGCATGTAGAGAGGGAACGTTCCGAGGAAGTGCAGGCTGGGCGACGCGACTCGAGGATGGTCTCGTCTCCTGACGTAACTTTGAGTGAACTTAGCGACTCGGCTACTCGAAGCACCTTTAGAAAATCTCCAGGAGTCGAGCCGAAAATAGATTCCTTGTCGGGGATGAATCGGTGAACGGGAGAGTCGGATAGGGATTTCTCCTCCAGAAGTACCTACTCTCAGCTCATGCATCGACTACAGCGGTGTGCCGATGATTGATTCGACGAGTGAAGCGGGAACGGAAGTTCTTCTGATGTCCTCGACGAGATCTCTCCAGCCGTGCGTCCTCCACAGGGCCAAGGAAGAGAATCCAACCGAATAGTCGACCACACAGCAATTCGGGCTGAGCGTCCCACGGGATCCTCCGTAAACTCAGCAGCAGGTAGGCCATGTCGGTCGAAATGAGGAATAGCGTGACTCGGTCATGGTTCGGGAACCAGGATTTCCCAAGCGAGGGAAAATTGATCGACGCTCAAGCTTGTGAGTCATGCGAGTCGTGTGAGCCCGAAACTCTTTGAATCTTGAAGCGTATTAGTGCAACATCCAGCCGGTGTCGGGATGATAATCATTATCATCAGGGCACAAATCTGAATGGGATGGGAGCTGTCTCTATCCACTGGCTTCTTCGCGAGGCTTCGCCGGTCCTCCGGCAGATTCGTAGAGTGCCGTAGGATCTCCCAGAGTTGTCGCCAGAGTTTTTCTGGTAGGAGCCTCGATGAAAGCTGTGAGAGAGCCGCAGACGAGCTCGCTGACTGATCGTGTTCACGCGCTACAGGAGTCCGCCCAGCACATCGAAAGCCAGTTTCGATTCATTCAACTTTAGAAAGCTGAGCATTCTTCCTCCGTGCCCCTGGGGGAAGATACTTTCTTCAGAAGTAGCTCTGTTCGAGAATCTCCGACTGCGGGGACGATCTATCATCAAGCTTGCTTGATTAAGGATTCACAGCCCAAGAGCTCCATTGAAAACCGGAGGTACGGGGGCATTCAAGAAGATTGCGAATGACTATCCGGGACAAACCTCCTCCAGAAAAAGGAGGTCTATGGTTCGCTCGTGAGCCCGACCCGAAATTCACAAGTAAAACGGGAGTCCCCTAAGCGAACGTAGGTGCCACCTGCCGTACTGTCTCTATCGTGTACAGAGTCGATTTCGAATGCGCAAACCCTTCTCCTAGGGGCCCTCTCCTGAGCATCTGATTCTTCACCGAATCGCTGTTGAGCGATTTTGAGAGAACCCGATCTAAGTCGATCTTCTTTGATCCCGACTCGCCGATTTCCTGACGTAACTGCGCGGTCGCGATACAACGGGAGGCGAACGCGCGGAGATCATTAGACAGCAGCTCTAACAAGACGGCAAAATAGCACGAACGTGTATAACGGCTGGACTCGAGGACTAAGTGCGCGACGTGAATCGACTCGACGGGGGGAGAGCGAGGTCGGAGCTCGTGTCGGGTTGTCTCGATACGCTCCGAATCTGGCAAAATCTTGGAATTCATAATATTTTTTATTCCCGTGGGCGGCGAACGGCTCTCGGATAGGAGCCGCGCGCAGAATGCGTGGGAGCGGCTGTCAAATCTAGATGCGACTCTGGAAACCTTACGACTAGAGATGAGAGCTTGAGGGAAGCGGGGAAGCGGGGAAGATCCGTTCGGGGTAATCCATGCAGCGGAGACCGGGCATAGGCATGCGGAGATCTTCCAATTAAGAGGGCATTCGCCGTTACGTAAACCGCATTCAACCCCGAAAGGAACTCACGCCTAGCGGAGCAATTAAGAAGCGACTTAATCACATCCTACTCCGCACTGTAGGCGACACCGAGAAGTTAGTATACTCCGTTTCATAAGCGAGAGGCATGCTTCGCCTGACGGCAGCATACACGTTGTGCTCGCTCACCCACGGAAGAACGCCGCTGAGGGAGGCTCCGCGCAGTGCGGAGCGACAGACGCACCTAATCCCCAATCCTGTGCCATTCGGGAGCAAGATAGAATAATTCCATGGAAGCATAGCTTATCTAATTTAATCGCTGAACCACTCGTCTTCATGCTAGATTGCATAGTGTAGGGCACACACAGAGTGGGTCTAGATTGATTCATATCTAGTTAATAGTCGATAGAGTTCCGATAATTTGCACCCCAAGAATTCGCAATTTGCGAAGACTCCCCTGAGAGCCGGATGATGCGCTAACGGTTCCCTCGTTCACGGACGCGATAATGCGCGGGACCCCCGTATTGTGGAACTCGTTAATTCTCCGGAAAATAAAACGGCGCGGGAACGGCACCTGGGAGGGGAGAATCGTGGAGGACTTAGCAATCGCCCTCGAGATTCATCGATCGCATCTCCGTTCTGTGGAGGCCAGAGGTCGATTGCCGCTCCAAGCGGGGGCATGGTCTCTCGGTAATTCCGAATGGCCCCTTCAAGGGAAAAATTCCACCTCTGTCCCTATGAGCCAGCTCGAAGCAGAGGCACGGAACAATCCACTATGACCACGGAGATATTTAGGGCGGGTAGTGCAGTGGGGGCTTTAAAGCCAATGATCTCGCGACGTTCTCGCAGCTGGTCCAGGACCAGGTTCCGAGATTGCCGGACCTCTGGAGAATCCATCTCGAAAATTCGGAATTCGCGTTCCCTCGCGGAGAGCTACCTCTAGCTAAAAACGGCGATTGAGGGGGCTCTAGTCCAACCTATTCATGAATATTCATGATTTGATACGTAGAGCGATACACCATCCCGTTCAACTCGGTCTCTTCGCCTCCCATCATAAGCCTTCACTCCTTAGGGGCCCCGATCGCCGTTCCCCTGATAGCGCCCATCGAACGTGTTTGAAACAAAGTAAAGACAGACAAGTTCTAACTAAATCGAATCGGAATAGAAAAATCAATAAATATTCTTCCAGCAATAAATATATGACACTGACGACGGTTTTGACTAGCTAACGTCTGCTCAGTCCAAAACTCCATTCCTGAGCCCTCCATCATTGCGAGGGCTGCTCTCCGTGGTGCAGACGGAGGTGAAATAGGTTTCTCGGATGTATCGCATCAGCAATGAATCTGAAAATTGATCATTGTATCGGCAGGTGCGTCAAGTTTGCCCTGCTCCAGTGCATGCTATGGGATACCGCGAGAATATTCGGAGATTGGCTAACCCTTCGGGGATTGAAATTGCTCTGCTCAGTATCGAGCGGTCAGGACTGTGATCGACGGAAAAGTGGCCGCCGACAAAACCTCCGCCGACGACTCCCTCGACCCTGGCGAGTAGGGCACGTTGAGCGGGTGCGTCGTCCAGCCGCCGTTGAACACCGTCACCTAAAATGACAATAATGATTATCCAGATGACGTCACGGGATTCAGACGTCCTGGCGTGGGCGAAATCCATCTTCGCCGCAGCTTGTCGGACCGGATGTTATTACATTCATGCCGAGCGTGGTCAATCAGCTACTAGGGGGAGACGATCTGGAAGTTCGGTCGAATGCGAGGTCGTTCCCCAACTCCGCGAGAAACGATTTTTCCGCTCAGAGTTGTGTCTTCGAGAAAGAGAGATCTCGTCAGCCGGGACACCTCGAATTGAGTTCGGAATATAATCAAAAGTGAATCATCGAAAATCAGGTTCAGGCGATAATGTTCCATAAAGTTTAAGGGTTCCTCATTGAGTCTCTTCAATTTGCGGAATCCGGCGGAATCTCTCTCATCCTGAACCTTCTGGAGTCGAAAAGAGAGGAACCAGAACGATTCGTCCCGAGAAAGCTTGGCAGGTTGTGCCTTCTCTAAAAAAGGGCGAGGCGCAGGTGAGGAAGAGATTGGAAGAACCCATCCACATCAATTTTGGGTTTGATCGGGTGGAACTATTACTTGTCTACGGATGCTCCAAAAGCGATTCGTTACTGATTAGTGATTCGGAAGCCTTTCGGGATCTCTCAGCGTTCTTTCGCGCCTCCCGCTCCCGAAATAAGCGAAGGAATGGATTGCACAGACTTAATCATCAGAAGCAGGCAAAACACGATTCTGGTTAGTGGTTAGTTTATTTTCTTCTCCTTTATTGCAAAGAGCTCGGTCGTAGGACGCGGTTGTAAGACTTCACACATACCGATTTTGGATGCTACGTTCCTCAGAGTTTCAACAACACCGATCATGTTCAGCGCGTCGGGCAGAGCCTTGGCGCTATGCGAAGCTTGGACCAAGTAATCTCGGAGATTCTGGAATGAGAGTTTAGGTTAACGGGAGAGGGTGAATAGTCGGGAACCTTGAAATGAATAGATTCCTCACGAGGCTATCGATCGCAATAAGCAGAGAAAAGGGAAGTTCCCGTCTCACCGTGAGGAGACTTCTGAAGGTATTGTCGCTTGTATCCGTCCGAAGTCGGTTCACTATCCCGATGCTCTTCATTATTCTGCGCGGGAGTTCCTGAACCATCTTGAAGAGACCGTTCATCCTGCCCGGGTACTCTCCAAGTACTCCGAGGACATCACCGCGGAAAATTCGCCTCAAATCGTTCATGACTCGTTTGTAATCGAAAACGGTCTGTAGGACCGAAAGCTGCAATTTTAAGCGAGGTTTGTGGAGGTCGTAAACTTAATGGAATCTGGGACCGGGCGGAGACACTCGATTATCCACTTAAATAATTCTGATGCAGACTCCACAATAATAAGAGGAGACCCGATTTCGCCTAATAAAAAAGGCTCGCTCAGTTTGGCCGGTAAGTCACAGCAGAGTACTCAAGCCCAGGTCACGAGGCTCCACTCACCATATCGTTCGAATTGGTCACCGCCTTGACAGCCTCCGTCGTAGCGTTGGCGGCAGCGTCGCCAATAAGTTTATCCTTAGCGTTGCTATCCTTGTCTCTGATTCCGTGCTGGGCCAGAATATCCTGATTCACCCGTTCAGGGTTTCGACTCGAGGACGGCGGTTGCGGGGACTGGGAACCCTTTTCGGATTTATCCTCGCGGACCCCGGCGCCACCGTTCATGTTCTGGATTTGCTCATCCAGGTCCTTCAATACCGACTTAAGCTCCTGCTTTGCGCACTGGAAGACCGATTTTTTTTTAAAAATACATTATCCCGTAGCGGGAGATCACGACAGCAGGTCACAGCTTTCGCCGGTACTCTCGTGGAATAGAACGGCAAAGGTTCGAGTCTTTCCCACGCTTCACGTGCGCGGGGGCTCGGACACGATTGGGAATCTCAAAATCGACGAGAAATAGGAAAAATCGTTTGCGAATCTTATCCCCAGTGCAATGAGTCGATGGGGGATCGGATTTCACAGGCTCAGGCACGAGATGTATGATCCCGGATACATTTCCTGTCTGATGTTTGCACAGCATAAGGCAAGCCCATAAAATGTGATGCGCTTGACCGAATGATGAAATTGCGGCCGTGAACTTGAGTCGAGGATCATCATATCGATCGAAAACCCAAGTATCATCGCTCGGATGATAGAGACTTTGCCTGCTCTGTGATCCTGGCTGCGCCGCTCTCTTACCCAACATTCATCACGACCGCGGTGCGGGGCACACTGAGCAAAGAGGAGAAAGATCTCGTATCTATGTCATGATTGGACTTCGCAAAATACCGCGGAGCTTGCGGCTAAGCGGCGGCGTCGATGCCGGCTCAATCTCACCAAAGACAGCCCAGGTTCAGCGTTCTAGGAGCCGCGGTATTCCGCGAAGCTTGGTCATGAAGTAAACGCGAGCCATAGCTGGTCACCTCATTTTGGAGCTTTTGGACTGAGGCTTGTCATTCTCCCGCATTCTCACATTCTTATTCGATTTCGCCACGGTATCGAGGAGTCATCGGAGGAACATGATCGCGAACTTACCTCGGTATATGCATCAGCACTTACAGTGAGTCCCTCATTCTGCAAAGTTCCAAGGTGAGGAGGTAAATCTCACCGATATCATTCAAATATCCGAAAAAATACTTCCAAAAGCTCACGGCTCACTTCTTCAACAGTGGTGGGGTCTTTCTTCAGACATCCATGAATCAGGGAGCTCGTCGAGGTGGTGGCGTCCACCACTTCTGTACTCTCGGGTATTATGATTTTTATCGGTACGGTGGACATTTCCGGAGCTGAGTCGATACTTTCCGGAGCTGCGGGGGCTCCGAGCGCGAGTTTCAGGAACAAGCATGTCACGACGATCGATAGTACACTGAGTCGAGCCCACTGGAAGGACCGAGATCTTTATCTTCAACAACCGCTCTTTCCCAAAACAAGTCAATAGGTTGTACCGGGATATACGATTATAAGAAGGTTCGGGCCAGACGCCATGGGCCGAATGAACCCGGGATAAGCGGGGACTACTCCAACGTGAATGTTCGCTGAAGTTGTGTGAGTGTTTCGAGCGGAGACCCGACCAACGATCTGCATATACAGGAAAGAATCGTCAAGAGAAACATCAAGGGAAAGTCCGCGGAAAATATTCCGGTCATTGAAAACACGGCACCGGAGGAAGTCGTGAGATCATGATTCGAAGGCTCTGCTCCCTCTCATTATTCACGTTGAGATTCCTCCACAGACCGAAATTAGATACCTGGCAACCAAACGAGGCTTGATCTCAGTAATTTGAGTGAACACTGCGAGGCAGTGACGCGACGTCGTGATGGAGAATGAACATCTATGTATTGTGCGCGACCTGTGGAGCGACTTTCGCCGCGAGTGGGATGTTCACAAAAGAAATTGGAAGGATTCGAATTTCCTGAGGGCAGGCAGATCGATTCGCGAAGTTTGAGTAATTATTACGAATTCACTTTGGGGAAGAAACTTTTTTTTCTTGGATGCCTGAGAACTCGGAGGCTCTCACAAGGATAGATTCGGGGAATCCCGTGGAAAAGCATTCACCTTCCGTACGTTTCATCCGCGGCACCTCTCTTGGCGAATTAACTCGTTTGCAAAAGTATCTCACCATGTTTGTTGTCCGCGGGACCAAGTTCCTACCCAGAACGACGGTGATCTGTAGAATGAGCATTTCGTTAACGGCTAGCGCCTTGCCAGCACCGGCTGAGAGGGTGAGGCAAGGCTTTCCCTTTCAGAGTGGTCAGTCCGGTAGTGGTCCACCGGTTTGTTCGACGGCTCCGAAGAAAATCGCCTGGAGGAGCGAGCTGACGTTCGTTGTACGACAAGATCATCGCGGAAGAATATAATCTCTGTTTACTGATCAACGCTTAATTATATGTGAGGGCTTCTGATCCCAGATGATGACGCTTCTCTTCGTCATGGAGGTTTCTTCCCATGATTCAGCAGCGAAAGTGGAATCGCGACTCATGGAGAGAGTGTAAACAACCGGCTGGGCGCAGATTTCGGTAGAACCGGTTGAGCTGTCATGAGGGCAGAAGTTGATGATGTTCAGCGAGCATTAGATCTTCCCGGACATCGGTAGCTAACAAGTTCCTCCCCAATTATCGCCGTGCATCTGACGAGAACGCCCATCGTTTGACACGGCTACCAAGGCAATTCAACGTGTCATTCATCTTGAATTATAAGCAGCCGTGGACCATTTCCGATTCTCTGGGTCATAGGTTCGTCCTATGTTTTGCCTAGGTTGTGAATGTTGGCACAGCATCCTCTCGGGATGCGTGAGAATTCGAAGCTTCCGACAAGAGGAAAACTCTCGTCCCTTCGTCCGATGACATGGAAATCATCATTCTCGAATGATGGGTTGCCTTCGTTGAACACTGGGGCTCCGCAGTACGAACTTTATTTCCTCCGAGGGATGGATGTCTGCGTAGATCGTTCGTGATTTTTTTTTTGTTTCAGCTTCCAGGATCACGCTGATTCTGAGATATATGGTCCCGTGAACGTCGTCAAGCAGATCCCTTGGGTCTGAGCGAATATCTAGTCTAAGCAGCCGAATCGTCATCGATATATCCGTGTTACTCGAGCCGTTCATTGAGAGGGCCCTCCTTGCGTTTCGCAGCAATGCGGTGACGATTCCGCAAAATCCCTCCCGAGTCGCCGGACTGCAATGGATCGAGCACTGGACTAGGAGGAACTGGTCAAAATAGGCGATCCTCTTGGGTTTTTTGCAGATGATCACGCCAAGCAGAATGAGTGAACTGCAATCTGCGGTAATTCCCAGCGATTCCCGCGAAATTCGTCATTCTCAGCCAAGACAGTAATCGGGTTTCATTCAAACAACACGAGTGGAACTTCTCCCTGATCGTGAAATCTTGCTCGGAGAGCCCGGCTCCTTTCGAGCCTTCAGCGGGCACGGTCGGTCCCTGTTATTTCTTGAGCTTGAGCGCGAGCTCGATGTTACGGAGGAAGGATCTGCCTGTAGGGACGAACTTGCGAAGCGGATCTCTTTTCAGGAGCAACTCTGGCTGCGAAATCGGGACTCCCCCGTCAAGCCGCGATTCCAAGAGAGTTCCTGGGTGGTCTACGAATTCCATGATTTCCCACGGCCACACGCTGCGATTTTGGGAATGTTTGGCCGCGAAAAATCAACACCCTCACTCATCACCTGAGGCTCTGAGAATCTATGGAGGTGGATGGGCCGGGGGAACCAGGTTGAATGTTTGAAGAGCTAAACTCCTTACGAGTCAGGTAGGAGGACGGAATCTAAGAATGACGGTGCATTCCAAAAGCATGAAGCAACCCAGAAAATTAGGGCAGCGCTCGGGGGGGCTGGAAAAATGGATGGAGATCCTTTCAAGTTGTCTCTGGAGCCCCAATATGCTCTACTGCACTCGATCTCGTCCCCAAAATATTTCCCGAAAAACTGCGTCTGTGACAGCAAGTCGCGCGGCGAGTTCAGTCCGGGAGTCGCTGCCGCGGAGCCCGAACTGTCTTCACAGGAATCGTCACATAACCGATTCGTTCAGATGAGCGTTCTGTAACCGTGACCGGAGCCGAGGCTGAGACCGAGGCGATCTAATGGAAGGAAAGGAATGAAGAAAGACACAGATTCGGGCGAACCGATTACGTATCTTGACTGACCCAGCGGATTGATCATCCATAGTCACGTTGGGCTCCGATTACTTCGGGATGGGATAATCTCAGAGGGGATTCACCTGACCTGGGAAAATTCTGTTGCATAAGGTATGCCCCTGAGGAAAGCAAGGGAACGGAGCCGGTACTACATGCGTATAAGGGGCTACCGGTGGACTCGCAATTCACCCTCCCCCGTCGCGGCCGCGGGAATCCTAAATTGAGGGCCTCTGCCGACTGAATCACGGGGAGCGATTGACCTTCGTTCCCTCCCCGATCACGGGAGGAATAGAATGTCCGCGCATCGCCTGGTCTCCCCGACGGTACTCCACAGCGACGAGGAAGTCTCACCACCTGGTAGGAAATATCGCGGGAGAAAGAGCAATCTCAATTATTCGAAAGCCGTGGTATAGAACTCCGGACGGAGATTCGTGCTTGCCGCCGTTGTGGACATGAGCTCGATATCAAGCACAAGCGAAGCATGATATTTTCCATCGGAGAAACATCCCTTGGAAGGGTGTTGGCGCGAGCATAATAATTAGAGGATCCCTTTCAAAATATTCGCTTCTAATTTCATTGGAATAACATCTCCGTCCAAGGATCGAACTCACAGTGTTTGTCCATGTGCCTTTTGGAAACGGAATATTCATTCCGCTCCGGAATCAGCGATGCGTGGGATGAGATTTTCGCTATTGTCCGTCTCCTTTACCATGTCCATGCTTCTCGTTGAGTCGAACTAGTTAAGATTCACCTTGTTCCCGCCCTGACCCATGCTGTGCGACGGGAGAAGGCGATTCTGTAGTTCCCGAAGAGACAATCTGCCTATCCTACTCCTCAGATGCCGCTGTGAATACATTGCGATCGGGAGCAAGTTTCGGACAGGGGCACTCGATACCTAGATTCGAGCAGGCGATAGCCTCGACACTTGCCTCACAGGGACTTTCTCCCGTGGAATATTGCCAATTGCCCTGTATTTGATATCTACCGGAAGGCTACACGAGAAGAACGAGCGATGATCGAGTTCTCTTCCGCAATGCTACCTCCAGGAATCTCTCGAATCGTCGAAAAAATTGGACAGGGGGAGCTCCGTTTACTTTGCGCCTGATTAGCACCTATATATGAACGGAGCGAGTGGGAGCAATGCACGAGTCAGAGCCATCGCGGGAAAAATGCTCACCGTATGTCCTCTGATCGGAGGGCGTGCTGTGATTCCACGATATGGATGGAAAATCGACGGTCGAGGATACATATAATCTGTTGTGAACATGACTGAACATATCGAGATGGATAGGACACTCCATCGTACTTCATCAGGGAAGCTTTGATTTTGTAGCGGGAAAAAATCGCCGAAAGCGCGGTGAAGCCACAGAAAATCACGGGGAAGCGCATTTCCTCGTATCGGCAGACATGCTCCGATTAGCGAGCATGCTCTATGATTCGGGCAGAGCCCGAGCGGGCATGTTCCAATGATTTACGGGCACAACCTGAGCGGCATCGCTGCCGCCTCCGATGCCGTCGAATCGATGTCTACGAGATCCAGTGCCCCGAAACCCGTTGACCGATACCTCCCGGTTGCCAGTAGCTCGAGAAGTACATGATTCGGGAGGCGGATGCAATTTCAAAGGCACGTGCGTCAAACGAGATGAACATAGACGTGCTTACAGATGTATACGGACCGTAACCGAATAAATATATGAAGTACCACCATAGTACGGTGTGGTGATAATGTGAAGATGAACACGACAGTCATCCTTTGTTTCGTCCCAGAGCTGGGATAACGGCTTTCCCCTGAAAATACGGATTCTCGGATAAATAACTTAGAACATTCGAAACGGCATTCTCCAACTAAGGGGAACTTCCATTCGACGGCCAACCGCGTGGCAGGTCCTAGAAATTGTCGGGAGCCCTCCTCGTGGAGGAGATAGGGTAGTTGCTCGAAATCGCAGAAAAAATCGATATTCGCTCAAAGTTCACGGGAGGAGTGGTCTTTCAGAACAACCCTGCTTCGCGAGCTCCGACACAGCTGTATTTTCAAACTCAGGACCGAAATCGAGCTCGAGCTGAGAGGTCTCTGAATTCTATAGAGTTTCGCGGCTCGGAGGTTGGATTGTCTAAACCCGCTTCCATGATCAGCGACGGTGTCGGATGAACGTATCAAGAAATCTGGGAATTACGGGAATTGAGGAATCCGCGGAAGACAGAGGACAGTCGCAGTTTCCGCGAGTTTCGCGATCCCCGAGATTTACGTACGGTTGTCCTCATGGTCCGGTGGAGAATCCGGTCTATTCCGGTCTAGTTGAAGAATCGGAAGACTTGCTCCAATTGATGGGCATGCTCCAATCTCCTATTGAAGAGCACCACACGCAACGCTTGAGAAATTGAGGAGCATGACCTTCAACTGGGGGGAATACGGTCTCTTGGTCAAGGATGCCACGAGCAATCCCGTCCTACGGACTGCCATCCTGGGTGAGAGACTCTGTTTTTTCCGCGTGGCATTCACAATCGGATGTATGGATGTGTACAAGCAGACCGGAGTGGTCATAATCGGGGTGGTCAGTTGAAATTGTTTCTGTCAATCCCGCTTAGTCGGCCGCAAGCGGGACCTATACGGCCGAGTAAGCGGGTTGGCCCATTGAATACGGCTCCAAATGAGCGGGACGGATTACGATTGGGGCCGAGGAAAACAGGCCAATAGAGCGAGTTGGCCGATTATCCGGGAGGCCGTTCGAGCGAACTCTACCGTACTACACTAAGCCCGCTCTCGCCTTCCTTCCATCGGATTCAGACACTCATCTCTACGTGGGAAAGTAGGATGATCGCTTCAAGTCGAGAGCTGAAGGGATGGGGCGAGAACGCTTCCCCGTTGTATGATTTTTGCGTATTTTCCGTTCCCCGGACCGCGAGCCTTAGAGGTTCCCTTGACCGGCGGGACCGAGTCGATCGACAGCGAATTCCGGGATTGCTCCGCGATTCCTTGGCTCCGAAATCACGAGGAAAGAAGGAAATCGCACCCGAAAACACGCTCCATCCCCAGATGGCAGACTCCTTCAAGCTTCTGTTTTTCACTAGGTCTCGCCGCTTGAAATCTTCAAGTCGAGCGTTCCCAAAAGTTTCCACAATGTCGACTCCCGGCAGACCGTCCAAATCTCCCTCGAACAGGAGCATTGTAAGCGCTAAGCCCCTCTGTCAGGACCGCGGAAACTTGCGGTTCTTTCGCGATAGGAGACTCCGATGGGGGAGTCGAAGAACTTCGGATTCTCGGAGGAGCCGACAGCTATCACCAAAACCACCCGCTCAGTCACACAGCGGATGTGACAGAATCCCCCGGAATCGTAGTGTCTTCTGATTGATAGCGATCCGATCTATCAACGTCGCATCGTCGGCAATATATTGGGCTGTACTTTCCATCTCGCTTTAGCGTCGTGAATCGCAGCTGTTGTCTTGCTGAAGATTATTGCGCAAATGATAAATCGCTGCGGAAGCTGCGGATCGCGATGATGTTAGGGTTCTCTCATCCCGCCGACAGCCCGGGTGATTTGAGCTCCCAAGCCCGTGGAATCATTGGGAAATTCCGTCGTCATCGAGTCCAGCGGATTATTCTAAAAGATGGGCACCCCGATCGATCGATTTTTTTTTTCGCGGAGACAAGACTCCCAAGTCCGCAATAGTCCGGAATAGGTTGCTCGATCAATTGATCTATTACTCGACCGGGAAGGGTATGGGATGTGTATTCGTGCTCTAACTCTTAATTACAGTCAGAGAGGCAGGCGAGTCGCTTTCGCGGGACTACAGCGCCACCCTTCGGACTGACACATGTTATCAAAGCCAGAGTTGGGAACGCTTCCCAGTGAGTCACGAGCTCTCTCACGAACTCAGTCACGGAGGCACAGCTGGCTCGTGCGCGCACCACACTGCCCGGTCGACAACAATGTGAGGTGGAGGCAGGACTTTGGAGGGCTCCGAGAGTTTCAAGTAGGTTGAGAAAATTTTGTCCGCTTCTCCTGGACTTGAGAAGAAAAAAAACGAGTTACCTCTGAGTGACGTTCCTTAGGTTTTCCGCGTTCTTCTATCGATTTGACTCGGAATCTTCGGACGGACAAAGTCCAGATATGAGCGAATTAAATATCATTATTCGAAAATACGACCAACAGTTCCTGTCAGTGCAAACTCCATCTCGAAATCACCGAATGCCCGGGGTTTGGCTGAACGAAAATACTCATCGAACCTGCGACGGACGTTTGCCTCGACTGTGGCTGTTTCGATTTGGACGGATCGCAAAAAATCCTTCGAACGATTTTCCGCTTCTGCGAGCATTGTCTGCGGACTGTCCATGCCTTTCTTCCAGCATTCACCTCGGGAGTCTGATACCTGTAGAGTGACCGAGCGAAATCGATAGGTATATTTATTGCCGGAAGAAACCATTTATCTGGAGAGAACTTGACGACCTCGTCCTATTCTACCACTTCCTAGAATTCCCCCCAAACTGGGAGTGGATAACTTGTTCCTGATCCTGGACTCCACTAATTCTAATACATCTTCGACATTTCCCTCAGATACGAATAGCTGAGCATCGCCCCCAATACCGAGTTTTCGAATGGCCGGCGACTCCTCCGCCTGTGTATCCTCGGTTGCCGCGGAGACCGTGGAGGATTCGTCGGAGCGCCCACAGCTTGCGGAGGTCCCTCGAAGTCAGCAAATAGAGATCGCTGTTCGTGAAAAGGCTACCGTCTGGGAAGAGCATCCCAAACTCCGAGACGAGGTAAGTCGCTTGAGTAGACGCTTGCGAGAGCAGAGGTTTCACAATCGGAGAAAAAAATACATCTGAAAAATGGGGCACTCCAAGTCTGAAGAGGGCCACGTGGTCAGCTGACGAGAGGTCGCTTCCTAAGAGAGAAAGTTCTTTGCTGTTCGATCGACGTTTCCATGCCTGCTTTTCCCAGGAATCCAAGCATAGGTAGTCCCGAAATTTCTGAATCCGTCTCTGTCTCTAACGAAGAGTTTCGGAGTGGTCCAGAGGGAGAACCGGCTCCCCATTGTTCCTCGAGCCGTCCCGATTACTCGATCCGGAGTAGATGTACAGATATCCGGTCGCGTTCATCGATTTCCTCATTTTCGTGAAGTGAGTGGTTCCTGGTTCCGAAAGCTTCTGACTGAGCACTGAGCATGAGTCGACTCCGGGCGCTATAGCTGAGATCCGTCGAGCGATCACTTGTCGAGCTCGCTCAACAATTCGATTGTTTGCAGAGGTCGGTCCCGCCGGGAAAACAAATCCAAACTCTCATAAGCGCAGCCTTATGAATGAGGGACGAATTCCTGAGCTCTCATAGCGTTCTAGTGATCGATCGATGGATCGATCGAATTCCCAGCATTGACCACGCGTCCAATAATCTCTCTCTCCGACATCTGACATCCCGCCGACGGAAGAAGCGCAGGAATAATTTCTTGGGATTTCGGGAGGGAGTCTCAACCTCCCATGAACATCGGAGAGTATTTGGCTCCGGTCCGATGCTTCGCGTCCGTCCCTGTTGAGCAATATTAGCCTACGCATCCGTATCGATCATTCATGTGGCGATCACGCGAACCCTCGTAAGCTCAGGTTGACCAACTAGTTTCGACCACATCCGTCTTCAGCAACTAAAGGGGTCAACGGAAGTCGAGCAAGTTTCCTCCCGAGCCTTCTGAGGAGTCAGCTCCGTGGGTCTCCCCAGAGTGAGCGAGACATCCCCCTCAACTAGAGCCGAACCTTCCTCACAACGTCCGATCCGCTCTGTACTCAATTAGATAGTGGATGAAAGGGCTACCACGGAGACTTTTCGTCTCCGTAGTATCTGGACACCGTTTCAGTGAAATATTTCAGAGCTGTTGTCGTGAGACCGCTGACAATCCCCGTAATCAAGCGATGAGACCTACTCGGATCTCTCGCCTGTAGTCAATGGGTCGGGGTTAGGAAGAGAATCATGGAGGATTGCATACAATTGGAGTTTCTTTTAGGATGTCCGATGAAGATTCGTCGTTGTCTCAAGCGTCCGATAGCGAACTGGTACGTCTGAGCTGTGTTTTCCCTTCGCTGAGTGTTCTCTTGAAGTCAGCTTGTCGATCGTTTCCGCGCTCCCCGCCAAGTATACATCCCTAATCCATCTGGCACTCAGCCCTACGTCGGCGCCGCAAATGGGTATTCCAACTCGTTCTTCTCTCCCGAAGCTCGGATGGGTTACCCTGAGACTCGGGAGATTCTATTGAAAATGATGATTGACTGACCACCGGAGATCATGGGGTCGTGCCGGATCGAGAATAATTCCATGCATGTGAGGGATCCATGAGAGGAACCGAAAAATCGTGGAAAGCTCCGAGAAACCATTTCTTCGAGGCCGCCTCAAGCCTCAATGGGATAGAATTTCCTCCAAGTCGAAGAAAACCAGTGGGGAGGCCGACGATGACTCGAAACTACTTCGAATACAAATATAAGCAGACTTGCTGGAACTCTTGCTTAGCCCCGCTTGCGGAGTGGCCGCGAATAATCCTCTCGAAGGACCGGGCAGACGGTCTCGTCGAAACGGAGTCTCCATTGTAGTATGGTAGAATAAGTGATATCGATAAAAGTATCGCTCTATCTTGCAGCTCCGCGAATGGCGAGAGAAATACGATGCATTGGAGGACGATCTGCGGAAATTGCAGGAGGGGCGTCTCGTTATCAGGACAGACACGTCGCTGAGCAGCGTGCGGCAGACAGCCGTGAGTGCATTGGTTGGATATGGATGTCCAGGGAACGAGCCGAAACAATTCCAAGAATATTTGATCCGAAGTACTGACTCGAACATCTTATTCCGATTGCAGTCATATGATGTCGAAACAACCTCCAACGTAACAGTGGTCACGTACAACACGAGGAGTCGTGACCTCGAAGAGACGCGAGAGGTTCGTTCCGGAGTCGTTTTGGGAAATAATATTCAGCGTTCCCGGGGCTTCCTCGTAAATTGAATAACTTGCTCGAATGCAGGTGGTGGATCCTGGTGGGGACGATATCAACCAGCTGCTGAAGCAACAGATTCTCCTCCTTGGTCAGACCAATCGCAACCTCTGCAGAAAAGTTGAACGTCTAAACCGGAGTCTGTTGGCAAAGGACCAGAGCCACGAGAAATTCCGTACCTTCGTTTCCAGCGAAAGGAGAACCGTAAGTGGCCAGAGCTGCGGTGTGCACTCTCAATGTACCGTTTGCGGCAAGACATATCGACCTTCGTGCACACCTCATTCAGGAGGCTCTTCGCCTACCGAAGTCAATAGGCGGAAGTCCTCGAATGCTAATGAGTGGCCATTCTCGACATATTCCCGGGCTCAAGCTCGCCGAGCTCGAATCCCTTGTGGGCAGCGTGAAGAGAGACTACAAATCCCTGCGGAACTACATCGCCCAACGATTGGGAGCGTACAGGGACGAGCTCGATTCACAAAAGAACACTTTGAGCAGCGCGATGGCCGAGCACGCCCACGGAAGAGATTCTCCTGAGCTCATCGACGTTCCGAAGATCATGGTCCACAGCGGAAGCATGACAGAAGACGAATTAGAGCAAAAGTATGTGGGCGAAATGTGCATTCTATGCAACATCACTCAGCTAGTCGGTCGCGAAGCTATGCTGGCCTGGGGCTTGTCTACAACAAGACAGCGATGACTTATCATCGTTTTTTCCCAGCGTCGCCAGGTTCAGTCAGGCGTCTGCCGTCCAATCGGCGGAGCGGAAGTCTCTCTATGCAGCGATCGGAAGCCTGCTCGGAATCGTGGCCAATCCGAATAACGCGAATGTAATTCAGAGATTGAGGTTAGCGAAATCCATTCGCAATTTTCCGTTCACCTGCGAGTAGTGGTCCGAATCGGACCAGGGATGGATACCTACGGGAAGATAACGAAATTCGAAGCGACGGAGGACAATTCAGACGATTTGAAAATTATTTAGGGAGAATCAGCCGCAGATTCGAAGCTCCGTATGAGTTCGGCGCCTCTCGGGGACGTCCACCAGAGAGATTTTTTCGAGCGCAACAATGATTTTGACGAGTGCGTGTTTTTCCCTTCATCGGCCTGTCTAGCCGAACGATGCCTCAATTCTTTGCTTCACAGATTTCTCCTGTCGTCAGACGCATCGGTTGATGACATAGTCGAACTCCTAAATCAATGCGCGCAATCAATGCCGAGAAGCGGAACCTCGAGCAGGTGTCGAACCCCAGTGGCTGACGAGGAACTCCCGATCGAGACGATGCTCCAGTTAGTGATTTTTTCTATTATTAAAACCTTTTTGATATGACGATGATGATGATAACAAAAGCATTATGGGATGCTTATTAGCGGAAAATCGCCATTTTTCGGAAATCTCATCCGTTGCGGAGAAGTTTCATCACTTTTATCGATAGCTCGGAAACTGACCAGTACCAGTGATCGCATCGCTTGATCCACAGCCACCTGCAGTATGAGGCGAAAATAAGGGACCTGGAACAGCAGTTGACTGCGGTGGGGAGCGAGAAACAACGTCTCGCCAACGAACTGAATCGAGCGACGGATTCTCGGGTCCGAAACGTGACCGCAACCAGTGAAACCTTCGCGACTACCGGTAAACTGACGAAAACCGCCGAGCTTGGAGGGTGCGACGCCAAAGACAATGACTTCGGCCAACTCTGTGAGTGTACGTGTACGTGTTTAGCCTTGCATCGTGAACCCAAGAAACCTTCGGGAGACTGAAGTCTGCAGGAAAAATTCTCTGCTTTCAATCTCCGCAGCCTGTCCCTAATGGAGCTATTTTTCCCCTCTCAGCGGAGCCTTCGTCCCTATCCGAAGACACGGATTCCCGATGGTGCTCCGAAATCCAAACGTTCCGCGAGCACATAGTCACGCTCCAACAACAGCTGGAAACTCAGAGGAAACTCTGCGATCAACTCCTCCGAGAAAAACAGTTGCTCATTCAGCAATTATCGGAGTTGCGAGATGAGAAGCGAAGATCCGAAGAAGCGATGAACTACCGGAGTCGCGAGCAGCAGAAGCAGATCGAGGCGCTCACTTCCAGGTTTTTTTCTATGCGGGCTTTTTCTGATCTGTCCCGAGTTCCTCCATATCCGGCGGTCTCACGATTTCCTGTTCGAAGCAGAATACGGAAGATCCTCCGTACTGTCCCGTCTTCATGAACATTTTTCGCAGGTGCGACCAGCTGCTCGATGGACGAAGCAACAACGATCGCAAGGAGCGGACGGAGACGCAAGCCGTGTCCGCTCTTCGTTCAGAGCTCGAGAAGGTGAGTTCCAAGCCAATCTCAAGCGCGATAATACCCGATGCGGAGAAACCCGAAGACGTCTTATTTTAGAGATTTGCGAGAACTGCGCTAGTCTAGAAAAGCCTACCGGGAGGCCTTATTTACCCGTCTGAAGTTCCCTATCTCAAACGACGGCGCTTACACGATGAGAATAAGGTTGCCGTTGGTGTATTAATCGCCTCTCAAAACTTTTGAGCGGCCATTCGCCGCGTCGAGCGATAAGGAAGGGATACGAAATTGAGCGATAAGCCGTTGCTCGGCATAAGTTTTTCCTCTTGTGAACCCGGAGCCTCCACACGGAATTAGCGATCTCCTCCCGGCTGATTTACGTGGAGTTCCCCGGAGCTCTCTCAGAGGATCAGCGGGATTACGGATTCCGTTTAACCTCCCGTCTGCTCCCGATGTTTCGACTTAATCATTCCCCGGATCGATTCCAATTCTCAGAAGAGTCCCAGAGGTTGGCATGGGAGAGAGATGTCACAGAACTTGCAGACGCGATTCGGGAGCCAATTGTAGCGTAATCCCATCATAGCTGCAATAATTAAGCTTATCTTTCCATCGGTCTGACATCTATAAACTGTCTCACCGATTGATTTGACTACTACGGCAGCTAGGCAAGGATGTTGGCGTGCTGAGCGATGAAAACATCCGATTGAAGAATAGAACTCTGCTCACCAGTCAGGAATGGAAATCCGTATTCCAAAAGGTGCCGCTAGTGATCTGTGAGATCTCTCAGCTAAAGAACCTGTTCGGAGTCGGAAACATGTTCTTTACGAGGCGGAGCTCGCCTTGCACGCAGATTCTCGCACGTTCTACGAATTAGATGCATTAATTTGAGGAATTTCATTTGCCTCCACAATCGAAACCGTCCCCGAAGTGCATTCCGACTGGAATCTCTCTGCAGGAATTCAGTCAATTCCCATACGTAGTGACTTAATCACTTCGTGCTTCTCTGTACCGTATTTCTTCTACGATGAGGAACGTTTCCATGAGGACGCATTTTCTTAAAGAATCGATAGGTGCGCTAGGGCGCACCGTGTGATACGAGCTCGCCGCTCAGACATGAGCCTAGATCGTCCACTCAAGAGGCTCCTGCGATATCGATTCGCTCCCAATGAGCCTCGAGAGTGTTGAGGCGTCTAATGTACTTTAACGAAGAACGAGTAGATAATCTTCTCTGATTATCTCATTGGACTATTGACAAGCACTCCGGCTAAGGAAAGCAGACTCTCATGGCGGGACAAGTCGGGAGAGGGTGGTATTAGACGGTCGTGCCCTTATGATAGAGGAAATACGGTATGCACCGAACACAAGCCGCTCGCGGAACGTGGACAGGTGTTCAGCTTTCTAGAAAATCAGCCGATTTGATTGCTCCTGCTTCTCTCGATGGGGTCATTGACTGCCAGAATTTGACTCGATGTTCTCTTCCTTGAGCATAGCAATCGACCGAGGTTCGCCGTCTGGAATTGGAGAAATCCCAGCTCTCGCAGCAGGTCGAAGAGGCTCGAATCGAATCCACCGCCGCGCAACGCGACGTCGAACAACTTCAAGGAAGGATTCTGCATTTATCCAAAGAACTTAGTGCCAACCGGGAGGAGCTGATCAAAGAACGGACAGCGAAGGACGAAGCCATGCTCTCAGCACAGAAGATCGAGTGCGAGATCGAGAAAATGCGAAACTTTTTCGAAGGTGGGTCCTGAGCAAGGTGCATTTCGAATGGAAGAAAATGCACGCTGGGGCAAGGATTCATCGCGCTGACAATGAAGGATTTGACTCGAAGAATATTCCGTGCTGTTCCGGGACTTTCCTGAGAACGAGAACGGCGGTGACGATATAATCAATTGTAGAACAACTCCACGAAGATCGAAACTGCCACCAGAAGTCGGTGGAAGAGTTGAAACTCGGCTACGAAACCCAGATCACGGAGCTGAGACAGCGTTTCAAGACAATCACGGAGGACTACAACACTCGTCTCAAGCACGAAATGTATCCAGTGCTCGAGGAGTTCCAGAGATTGACCGCAAATGTCACCGATGCTGAAGTCGAAATTTCCAGTCTTAGGAAGAGTCTCCTCAAGGAAAAGGAAGAGAACGACAGAATGCATGATTCGGAACGCTCCCTCAAAACACAGCTCTCGGCCTTGAATAGGTAAGTCGAAATCCTCCGCTGCGGGAATCCCTTTGTGTATCTTAGCCTCCGTCGACGGATGCGTACGAATCAGACAACGCTTCCCTGACAGTTGTTACCGCTCCGCTTCCACAGGGAACTCTCTGACACGCAAAGCAAGCACAGCGAGGCTGTTCTCCAAGCGGAAGACATGCGTGTTCAGTGCGCAGAATTGAAGGCGAAGCTGGAATCCGGCTCCCGATCGAATCTCAGCATGAAATCCGATCTGGCGAAGCTAGCGAGCCAGTTGGAACAATCCGAAGTGGCGCGGAACGTCCTCGAAAAAGAATGTATGGCTCTCCGGGAGCACACGAATCATAGTACAACGCTTATCCAGAGCGAGTGCAGTCAGATGCAGGTGAGATGTTATATTGTTTGCTGCGGGAATGTTGCCGAATTTTTTCTTTCTTCTCGACTGCCTCGGCTTAACGAGCTGCGGGCGAGTCGCTCCCAAGCTCTGAGTCGCTGACTTGATTCGTGTCTCAGGAACGCATCGCTGTCCTTCTCCGCGAGAAGGAGTCCCTCGCCAAGGAACTAGCGGAGTCGCGCAGCGATGATGAGGTTCTGCGTGCGCGTATGGTCATGCTGGAGATGCAATTGGAAGAAAAACGCCTCCAGGCGATCGAGGATGAGGCGGAGCATGAGAAAGGAATCGCTCAATGTTCCGAACTCAAAGACCAGCTCAGTCAGACGCGACTCGAGCTTGAGATCTACAGAGAAAGGGTTCGCTCTACCTCAGCCCCTCGAGGCATTTCCTCAGCCATTCACGCGGAATTCTCTTTGAATGTTCCTGTTTTTGATATTCCTCCATGCCCTCAGATGCTGAAGCTCGAATCCCAGAGGTCGGAACTGCTGGTCCACCGGGAAAAAATGCGTCGCATTGATTCGCTGCTTCTTCCCGTCATGAGTCGGAAAGGTGTCGACGCTCAAGATATCGTTGATTGCGTGCGAAAACTGGTTGAAGAGTTGGAGGCATACCGAGAGAGACCCGGCACTGTAGACCAGCAGTCGAACAATATCAAAACGCTGTGTTTAACGGAATCAAGGAAAACGTTCGAGGATAGTAAGAAGAACACGGAGCTCCAAAGGTTAGTTCGCCCTCTTTTATGCGAATCAGAAAGACGTGGAGGCATCGGAAATTCCGAATGCACCTCTTCATCCGACCGCTGTGGGCTCGGAATCCATGTCATGATAATGATAATAATAATAATGATATTTAAAACCACGAGTCGTTTTTCGATTCTCTCAGAGAACTGACGGTGCGAGAGGCTCGGATCAATGTTCTTGAGCAGAGCCTTCTGAGGCTCCAGACTGAACTCGATCTCCAGAAGCAGTCGAGCGAAGTTCGACTCACGGAAGGTCTGCCGCTCCAGCAGCACAGCAAGGTGCTGATGCACGCCGAGCTCAACAAAACTTCTGCATCTCTGAAGGTAGATCTCTGCCCTCATAGCCTGACTTTCCCAGGATATGAATATGCTGAGAGTGTGAATTGGGGATCGGAAGGGAATAATTGTGTGCTGAAGTATTCCGGACTTGGAATCCTCTATACATGAAAAAATCCTCTCGATGCCGCAGCTGATGGAGCAGAAGTACCAGGGAGACATCGATTCGGAGCGAGAGTCGAACAAGCGCCTACGAGAGCAGATGGCTGAATTGAAAGAGGATTGCGATATCCTGCGCAGGACTTTGGACAGAACTCTGAGTGAAGTTGAGGTTCTGAGAAAAACTCGCAGCAATAGAGCCGTAGAAGCACCGCCGCCTCAGTCAGCGCCGTCCAAATGCAAAGAGGTGATTTTCGAATATTTATTCATTTGGATATCGCTTGTGGACTCACATTTGATATTATCGGATCGTTTGGGAGATCTCCCAGCTTGAGTTTTGGTTCCAATTATCCAGAAGAACTACGAGTCCTTGTACCGCCGGCTGAAACATGATCACAACAACTTGCGTCAGAAATACGAGAACGCTCTGCGGCGAACGCAGCAGGATGTCATACAACATGAGTTCACTGCCACCGTAAGTTTCGGGGAAGTTCAAGATTAGATTCTGGGAACATATCAACTTAGTTCCCAGAGATCACGAGTCCGAACCATAGGACGCTATCGACCCGACAGAGAAACCCTCGACCAAAGGTTTCACTATCACCGCCGATTTCATCCTAATTTCTTTTCCGAACTTCCGCTCCCCGATTTAGAGAACATTCAGACCCGCTCGGCTATAGAAATCCCCGATCCCGTTACAGTGAGTTGCGTAGTTAACTGACCCTGAATAGAGACTGCGAACGCTTGTCTCGATAATCTCCATTGAAATCACGAGGCTTGCTTATTGGATGCACAGCACTCACTGCACGATTCCACTTGTCTGAATGCGCTCCCGTCGTTCATGTCTCACGAAGAGTATTAGTACTTGGTCCTCCTATGAGACTCTTCATTCGCTGGAGGGAGATCCTTCCGCTATGCTCGATAGAATCTCACCAGACATTGCCGTCTTCGGGATCAGATCGCCGTCCACTCATCTAGGTGGACTTCATCCCGTCAGTACCGACTCGTGAGCGAGAATATTTTTTCCAGTCGAAGAAAATCCTCGGACAACTGTCCAAGTCCCTGCACAACGTATCGCGCGACCCGGAGTGTCTTCCACAGGAGTCGCAAGCCCTGATGATAACCGTCAAATCGCTCCATCAGAGTGAAAGTGTAGAAGAGGATTAAGTTCATCTCCGTGGAAGGTTCCTCGTCTGAATCGAAGAAAATTGACTCATTTCTTTGTCCTGCACGTGAGGGGAGCTCCTCGACCGCGTTTCGAGAATACTCACGACTTCATAGCACCTCGAGCGACAGTCAATGAGGAGAGAGGGCGTAACGAGTAATTGTGAAAGTAGCCTGCCGTCGAAAGTGAAGTAGAGACTGTATTTTCCGATGAATCACTGCCTGTGAAAGGATCGTCCGGCCCAAAATTCCAGAAACTCCAATAAATGACCCCAAGTCTGACATGTTTAGTTTTGTACTGTAGCGAATCTCTGGAGAAGTATGCGAAATTCGGGCTTCGAAACCACAGGCTTGAATCAGACCGTAGACCGACCCCCGCCGGTGGGAACGTGTCACGAATATTCGACGATCGATCCTTACATCTGATGATACACGAGTCCCAAATCGATTTTTTTCTTCTAAAAGTTTTATTGCAAGAACTATCCACCATTAGACTCCAACACAAAACTACTTCGGCTTGACCGCGGAAGCTTCCTGCTGTTGTTGCATTTTCTTCATGGCCTCCTCGTCCTGCATCGAAATCGAAGCCAGCTTTTTGCCAATGCGCTCGTGAATATCCAAGAATTTCGCCACGCAGCGATCTATGCAGACAGATTCGCCTTTCGTGAGATCACCCTCTCGATACTTGGTGGGAATGCATTTCCGCTGACAGACGTTCGTCATTCTGCAATGGAACAGGAGGAGTTGAGACGATGCGCGCTGGCGAATTCTGACCTTCTCGATCTTCCCACGGAGGAACTCGCTGCGGGGGCGGTACTCCCTGAATCAAGCAACCGACCTGTTGTACATATCGGCCATCATATCGATTTCGAGCTCTTGCACTAGGGCGAGCTTCGAAGGATCCAGTTGCATGCCCGCCGCCATGTTTAGGTGCTCGTTCACAGCGCTCGGGGAGCAGATTTATGGTCTTCAAAACTTGAAATTCTGAATTTTCTCAGTTGTTCCGTCTTTCCGGAAAACTCTGTTGCCCTGTTCGTAGGATCCCGCGTTGGCGTTTCTCATCCGTTCTCTACTCTTCATCGCCTCATAGCGCTGCGCGATGATTTTGTCTCGGGCAACCACAAACGCGCCTAGGCCACCAACGACGGCTATACCCCTGAAAGAGGATTCCGACGGATCAGATCAATAAATGAGCTTGATAATATTCCGGTACGGATATTCTGTTCTCCGAATTCTCCCCAAGTCGAAGGCACACAGATCAAGCGAAGTTCGACTGCGGACAGGAATCTCTTGGTGAGCTTCCGGACATGGGAACAATGCCCGCGGAACTTAATGGGCGGTCTACGCTTCAGAAGTCATATTGAATTCGGGACTGAAGCTATCGTCAAGGGTTCCCTAGCAAGGATTCCTTCAGCGGTCGAAGCGGGTGTTCGCGCACTCGATCTGTATTTGTGGAATGGAAAACTTCCTGAACTCGAGCTTCCGACTTACCAACCGACACAGATCTTGAATATTGGGCTTTTCCAGAGCATGAATCTATCAGCTAGACGCTCGAAACATATATTCACCGAGCGGACTCTTCTAGGTGCTCTCTAATCTCGTGTTTCGTCGGCGACTTCACACGCCTTGTGCTTTTGTGTTCCCATCTCTCTTTTCCTGGGGCTGTATGCATTCTCGTAGCAGACGACACTGGCCGGGCGTTTGCGTGTTCCATGGCGTCGGCTTTGGATGATCGAGCATTACACCGGAGATTCTGCTCATCTCGCCCACCGACTAGGGTCACACAAATTAGAACCATCATGGCATGATGCCCGTCGAGTCCCAGGGCGGAATCGGCTTATGGAAATCAGGATTCTATTCTGGTATCCCGCGGGCATACTAGACGAGCTACATACCATCAATCCGAGCGTCGTGATCTTGCGTGCGAAGCTGTGACAAAGAGAAAGAGAACGCAGTACCGATGGCGTCTCGTTTCGTTTTTTCCGGAGCCAGGGTTCCCCCTCCGCGATAGCCAGGATATCCAGGCGATCCCCTCTACCAGACGAAATTCCTGTTCGCACCGAAATCGGCAGATATTCTCTGGATTCGGAATTCCTCGCCAACAGATGTATTGAACAATAATTTCGCCCCTAAGCGTCGTAGTTCTGACGTCTTCCTTGTCACAATTAGACGGCATTATGAATTATTCATCCAGCTTGAGCAGCCCTGTGGCGCCAACCAACTCCGGAACCCACAATGTTCGAACGCGATCTCCTTCGCTCATTGGACATCCGTGCTTCTCGCAAGGGCCTGGAGGCCGACAAACAGGGATCCGAGAGCGAGAAGCCGATTATCCGTCGGGATCCTGGGTATCCAATCAGGGTCCTGATTCTGAAATCGATTAGGTATCTGGATCGACTTGTTCCGTCCCCGTTCGTTCGAGAAGGCGAGTCGGAATAACCAAACGACGACATCAATTTAGTTCTGCCAATCAGCCATAAGCGTCGGTCATTGGGCTTGCTATCACCATTCACAGCGCCGAATGCTTTGCCTCATACAAGAATGCGCTCCTCGAAGGCTCTGGAGAGAAGCGGGCGGATGTCGCCGCCGCGCGACTCCGGAAGGACCTTCATCAAAGATCATCCACATCATTGCACCTGCTTTCCCATCGACTGATTCCGTCTTCGTGCAATATTTCATCCCGCCAAGCTTCTCGAACGCAATCTCCATGGACTTGTCATACATTCAACTGTGAGCTGTCTTGCGCATGCTTACGAACGTACAAAAGTACGCCGTGAAAAGCTTTCAAACGTACAAGCATAGTTTCATGCCTACAGAGCGGCAGCGATCGTGAATCGCCGCCTCCTCCTCCTCCCTCACTGAATCTTACGCGGTCAAATCTGAATGCTCCTCCGAGTTTCACGACGCTCAACTGTTCCGCGAGCTGCGCAGCTCATCATGAACGGGACGAATTACGGGCCGGTCTCGAGACGGAGGCTCGGCCGGCAGCCCTGAGAAAATTCCTTGAGACTTCGTGTATCAGGTTGGTTCTGTTTTTTCGAATAGTCTCGCGAGTAATCCAGCTTCGCCTCACCCGGGAGATCCCTCCTCGGATAAGTTCCTTCCCAGCGAGATCAGACTATGGCCCTTCCCCTGTATATATCTAGAGAGACTATCAGAAAGTTCTGCTACTTCCTAAGCTAATACCGAGGCGACGGATCAATGATTTCCGCCAGTACAATCGAGATATAGGGACGAAACAGAGTCCCAGGAGGTCTGAAGCAATCGATGAGATTCATATCCTCGCCGTAGCCTCGAAATGCAGAAAAATTGGAGCCACGCAGCCTACCTATGGACAACCGACCACGAACGAGGACCTCCTGCTCTTCAAGAGATTCTCGTGACATCATTGGAGAATCTACTGACTCAAACCTCGAAGAGCCTCCCCGAAAGTAAACTTATCCATCGTTTCTGAGCACGCTGTCTTACAACTTGCAGCCGCGTCCCGGAATGCAGGATGGGGAAGTTAGTGAATGCATTCGGAGTAGCTCTCGACTCTACCATGAGAGTTCCGGCTCTGTTCCTTGTGGACCAGTGGTATCGGAGTGCCAGAAGTCACCCTCCACTGAGCATCTTGAGCTACGAAACCGTTTATGTCTGGATCCAAACGAACGCTGGTGAGCAGAACTTCCACTGGTTGATATTGAACGAATCCATCTTCTGTCCGAGCGAATCGCTTATTAGCGATACTTTGATACTTTACACATCTCTTTCCTCATCTCGGATCTCATCAGTTCAACCGAGTCGGATGAAACTCGCACTGACCGCCATGCTTTTCAGTGTTCCTCAGCGCCTTCACCATCCTTTTCTTGCCTGCGACGTTCCTCCACGCGCTCTACAAACACGCACTGTCGATGATCTTACTGATCATCTCCCACTTCGTCAGCGACTACTACGTTTCAATGGAAGTCGGTAGATGCAGCGAGAACCCTAAGTGCGACGTCTTCGATAATCTTCCGCTACATTCGACCACGCTGCTCACACATGTTCTTTTAACTGTGGTGATTCGAATCTTTCTCGAAAATCCACGGTACTTACAATCCGTCGCAGGGGTGTACACGCTCCCCATTGCGGCTCGTATGCTCGGGGCCCCGGTCAAAACCTTACCGGCAGCTCAATTGGCCTCGAACACTGTGGTCGTTATCGCTGGTTGGCTGCATGTTGTCGATCGCTGGGATAGCACGAGACAAGCACTCCGAGATTTAAGATCCAGGGTGACCGTAGTTCTGGACACCGTAGATCCTCTCTCGGCCGTCAAGTTCCTATACGAGAACGCTTTCTCAGCACCGACTTACGTCGTCTACTGGTTTATGAATTTCGCAACCAGCGCCGTCGATCTCTATTTGGACGATGGGCATATGGGTACGAATATCCTATACTTCACTCTACAATGTTGCGCGTCGGTATGCGTTACGCCCCTGAACGTATTGGCGACCGCGGTCGTCGTGTCCTACGTGGCGTATGGAACCATACAAGGTACGTCGGTGTTGATTAACGCCGAGCGGGGGGACACACCTATGCACTCGGGGTGGGCCCAGGGTGCGATGATGTTCGTTCTGGGGGTTCAAACTGGACTGATGGATTTGCCGACGGCGATGCGACCCAGCGGTCTCCTTGTGATATTGTTTGTCGTCGTTTCTTCACTTCTACAAAGTGTCCTCGAAATCACCGAGCCCGTAGTTCTGAGCTTGGGCGCTTCCAGATCGGTGAGCGGAGTGCGGCACGCGAAAGCCTTGGCGGTGTGCCTTGTCCTATTTGTAATGCCATTGCTCCTTACGGCTGAACTGGCTGAAGCTTTCCCGCTGGATTTCTGGATTCTTATGGTGATAGGTACGTGTATCTTGACCTCTGTTCGAGTACTCGGAACATTGACGGTGCACTGTATATTCGTGTACGACGGTATTGTCGACGATGGGACGACAGATCTCGACGACGTCGTTTACTACGCGCGTGCCGTCATCAAGGTGCTGGAATTCATCGTTGCGCTGTGCGTTGTCGCCGCCGGCGTACACGAGAACTTTTCCGGCAAGTGGAACATGGCGAACATTGTGATACTCGTCATCCACACGTACTTCAACGTGTACCAAAGAATGCAAGCTGGGTGGAAGTCTTTCCTCTCACGGCATGAAGCCTCGATCAAGACGCTCTCGTTAGCCAACGCCACGGATGAGCAGATCGTCGACTACAACGACGTCTGTCCCATTTGCTACCAATCGCTTCAAGACTCGGGCTCCGTCTGCATCACGCCCTGCAGTCATCTGTTCCATCGGAACTGTCTGCGCAAATGGTTGTACAGTCAAGCCAAATGTCCGATGTGCCATAAGAAAGTAATGAGCTCGGCCGATGAGAGGGATTTTGATAAGGAGGCTGCCGTCAACGTATTGCGAGCTCTGGAACGAGAGGTTCAATGATAATTATGAAATGTTCCCTTGTTATCACACCCCACCCGCCACGGATAAGCTGGTCAGACTCTCATATTATGGACTTCCTCCACCACAATTTCTGCATTTATTTGTTCGTTGTTTAATGTGTATATTCGAACAGCTTCGTGTTGCAAACTTTATGTAGGGAAATGTGGTGGGGAACATCCATGCATGTACCTAGGATGTATCGAGACGAATAGACCGAGTATGAAAGATCCTCCGTACGATAAGACCCGATCCGAGAATACAGATGAGCATCCATTCGGGGTTGACCGTACTCAGATTCTCCAAGATGCCATTTCGGTGAGAATCAATTATCCGGGGAATTATTTCCTAGGCTGGAGCACAATCCTCACCACTTCACGTTCTGTGGAATACTTGGGAAAAACTGCGGGAGCTGGAGTGAGATTTGTGAATCGACGGAGGAAGAATGTTGGAGATTGAGGAATGCATGATCTAGTAATATTCAAACAGGACATTTGTGTAAAGTCAACGTAACGGGACTGAGTGACCTTGCCTCCCTGTGCAGATAGAATAGGTATTTTTCGACCTTCAGGCAAAGCTGGGGGAAAGAGGGAAAAATGAGAAAAAGGAATGGCCGACTTCCGCGAACCTACGCGGAAACGACGGATGACTTCCGTATCTACGAGAGCCGGCAAGCCACAGAATTCGCGCTTGAGAGAGAGAGGCCGTCGATCGTCTCCAGAGTATTAAATATCAACCCGTGCCGATCTCAAGCAGTGTCTCATCCTTCGAATCGATAAGTCCTTCCCGACAGAACTCGCACCTCCGCTCGGACAAGAAACGAGTCGAGTAGGTATCGTAAACGCGTAGTCCTGCCGAACTCAATGCTTCGAGATCTTGGACAACGATCCCAAAGGCGCGAATTCATCGTCAAAATTTTCGTTGCCGCTCTCCGTAGGCTCCCCGAGTTCGGGAGCGCGAATATCGCGCAGAAATCAAATTTATTCTCCCCATAGGCAACAAGATTCCAGGACCGGGATCAACACAAGTGAGAGAAGTTTCAATTGGAAGAGCTGGACGAAGTCTCCCGATCCAAGCTCTCTGGCTGAGCGAGTGAGGAGGTCCCCTTTCAGAAACGGTGTTCATAGTGATCGAATGTGCTCACAGCGCGTGACGGCGTTCGTTCTATCTAGCGGAGGCCTGTTTGTCATCAAAAATGAACCTGCGGCCCGCGATGGTCCGAGATTTGAGTCAGAACACACTCTAACACTCTAGTCAAGCGAGCGAGCGAGCCGGCCGGCTAGCGGAATAGCACAGTTCGGTCCACGAGAGCTTAGACGAGAGAAGGAGAAACTCGCGCGGGTGTAGAACCCAGCTAAAAATACTGGTCCCAGAAAGCCCAGATATAAGATCGAAAGATATTTGGCTGGCTTTTCATCTTCCGTCTATCAAGCCCGCTTTGCCCACTTCCCACACCCTATATCGGTCGGTACTGTACGGGTATCGTCTGCGAACAGATTCTGCGATGCTTTTTCTTGGTGGTGGGCTCCGCTGGCCGAGATTGACACTGGTTCGTTTTCACCTACAGATCTTCTCGAATAACGTAGACCATCGGCTTCCGCCGAGTCGGACGACGACCACGATGAGAAAGAGAGCCGCGAAACGAAGAAGAAAAGCGAGATGAAGGCTTTAAACAAACAGTCGACATTGACAAACACCGCGACGTGCTAGTTCAGGCCAACCAGTGGAAAACGCTGCTGCCTCTCCCGAAAGCTGCTCTTCCGATTTTTACTCGCTATTACTTCGCGCTTTCCAAAAGACACTCGAGGCTCCGGTTCTTTCGATGGACCCTGTGCTAGGTGGCTGGCTCGCCGGCCGGTCGCCGAGCGGACGCGAGGACCGACGGAAAGGTGGAGAGCCGGCGGGCTTACATATCTTGGGTATGTTTCTGGAATCTTTACAAAAACTCCCTGAGGAAGAACCAAAGTGAAACACTCATTATCGCCCGTGTCGAACGCGCTCTCGAAGGGTTGATTTATTCAAGGAATGGCGCTGAAAGGAAGCCCGACGCTCGGACTGACTGAACGCTTCCCACGAGACCCGATGCGAAATCATGACTACCGCGCGCGGCTACTCTCCTGAGCGAGTTTTCTCTCATCCGAGCTCGAGGGGTCCAGCCTCTCCCCCTTCAGTGTTCGTTCCCCCAGAGTTCGCCCCCTCCCGACCGACCAGTCCAGCGAATGGAAATTCGTTCATCTCGAGAGTGCAGAGGAAAGTTCTCAGAACTATGTATGTACCTCGCCGTAATTTCGTTGTAATTTCCACGAAACTGTGGGAACGGAAAGATTCCGTCATCCGAGACCAGGAAGTCACACTGAGACTCTGCTCTCAATTACGAACTCCGGAACGGCGCTGAGGACTGCTTCTTCCAGAGAGGCGCAAGCCAACGGTCTTGATTTATGCAGAACGAGCACGCTCTCGGGCCGGAGGAAGAGCTCGTTCGCATTTTCACTCGTTTCTGCGTATCCTCCACAGAAATCGGGAATCGATTTCTCGTCACGTAGTGATAGATGCAAACCTCAGGACTCGTATGCTCTGGAGAAATCGACTTCGGAGAGAGCTGCAGGAGTCAAAGAAAACTCGGTGACGAGCAAGACAGAAAAATACATATGAGGGGGCTTTGTAGGAGGCCGCGTCATAGATTCGCACCGGTCTTCTAGAGGAGCTGGGTATTCATCGTCAAGAACTCGATGCTTATAATCAAAGCTTCTATGTCTTTCTTGAAATTAGTGCAAATTCGTAGAGTCTAATACACGATACGTGGTCCGGGAGAAAGAGCGGTCAGGTCCGAAATCAAGGCCGTATCCGGACGTCAACTGGAAGTTCTTGGACGAGATCTGCGTTCCAACGCACAACCATGGATGGCAGGAAGGGAAGAACAGCAATTCAGCACGCGGTGGAGTACCGGTGAGGGGGCGTTGAAGGCAGGCAAGCAAGCGTGCGAGCCACGAGTTTTTCTCTCCACTCCCCTCATTCGGATTTGCAAAGCAATCACGCCGAGTGGGTTTCGATTTTACGGCGAGGGGGATCACGAGCGGGAGGAGAATGGGCGAGAGATCAGGAGAAATGGGTCCTGATGGTACCGGCAGCCAGCCTGTGGCTCGATCCGCCGACAAGCAAAGCGAGAGGGTTCGTTCACCCGTCCGTACGGATTCGAGTCTCGTGCGTGCACGCACCTGTAGCTGGCGTTTTACTAATGATCTGTTTTTACTTCGGACTGCTTGCCGTCAGTGAAGCCCTCGAGTGCTTCGCTCGATGCCGTCTCCACTGGCCGCTCCCACCATCTGCCACAGGGTGAGAGGCTCGATCCGATCTTCTTGTCGAGATCGATTTCTCTCCGGGCTCCATTCTCCCGCTCTCTCCGTCCGTCTCTCTCGCTGCATGTTCTCGGACAAAAACTGTGTTCAGCAGCTATAATTGCTGCCAATGCAATGCGGTCCCTTGATGAACAATGTTCACTCGCTCGGGAGTCCGTTCCCTCTCGCGCCGCTCCATGTCGCCGCATCCATCCTATCCCTCGTCTCTCTTCCACCATAATTTTCTGTCCCGTGTAGGTACACTGGACGTTCAAGAATTCCCCCCCATGGGGGAGGAGGAAATTTCCCCCTACGAGCGGCAGCTGAATCCAGTGGAAGATTCGTGTCCTCGCTCCTCAAACACCAATTATCCTTTTCCCCCCTCTCACGGATCGGTTATGCGAGGAGACCTGGGATTGGGATCGAGGTCAAGAGGTATTTCTGGGTTCTTGATGAGCGCGACTCAAGGGGGAGAGTTCAGGTAGAGGGGGATAAACTTTAGTTCACCTTGAGCCTGCCTCCTGATGCTGTTGATTCTTCCCGCGAAGGTTTATCGCTCCGAACTACTTCCTCTGCGGAAGGATGGCCGAACGGACGGACGCTCTACCACTTTAGAGAGATACGCAGCGTTCTTTGAATATTTCATGAGATTTAAGACACCCACTGCAGGGACCGTCGCAGCGTCTCTGCCTGCCTGTTTGCTCAGACGGCCGGCCCGGTCGTTCGGTTGGTCAGTTGACCGCCGTCGTCGCCGCCGCCGTCGCCAGTCACTATCGGTATGCAAACTTTGCCAAGCTCCTTCGTCTAAATCCTAGAGTATCTCTCTCACTGTTCCTCCCGTTTCGCTCGGTGCGTACGTCCGTCGGCCGGCCGTGTCGGTGGCTCACTTCCCGTCTCAATGTCTTGAGTGGACTCAGTTTGCCAGCCTCAATTTTTGCCTCAGCCTTTTCTCGAGTGGCTAATTATGTTAAGGAGGACGAAGAAAGCCCCGACCGGCTACTCGCAGACCGCTTTGTTATCCAAGTTGTCCATCACTGTGTAAAGGGGGACTCATCCGTTGTCGACATCGCCATCGTTGTTGCCTTTGCTCTCGGCGAAGAGGGCGGTGATGGCGTCGGCGGCGTAGACAGCGGCGGTGACAGCGGCGGTGACGTCGACGGCGACGAGGACGTTGTTGGGGCTCTATTGCGTTCATGGACGGAGGCGGAGAGGACTGCGGGGGGAGCGGAAAGCAGTCGGCTCTTTTGGTGGACAGCAAAGAATATCGCGGTGTCGGGGACGACTCCAACGACTCGGAGAAACACGACGACTCATTGAAGACGGAGCTACGTTCCGCGCTACGCGGACGCAAGTCTATCGAGGTCGTTCCAGGAATAGGAGAGCCGTGTCGACTTTGAAGCTCTACCGCCAAACACAGCGCCGTCACAGAGGAAGAATTTTGCGCAATGGGTAATGGGAATCCGGAACGGTTGAGGGTCGCTCACGGATAACGACTGCACTCGACTTCCCCGTGTCCATTGGTCCCTCGGCAGATCCGGGGATCGGGAAAATGTCCAATCGGACCTTTTTTTTAGAATGTGACAGGACTGTCAAACGAGCCGATGTGGAGTGAACCGTCGATTATTCGCAGGTCGGAATTCGCGCCTTCCATTCATACGGAATCTCTAT